GGAATATAGACTCTGACATAGTTAGTAGCAAGTACTCATATGGAGATAGTTGTTCGCTCTAGCATCTGGATTGTCTCCCCTTTGACGAATTCATGTCTTTGCCACCATATATACCAGGCCGCCACCATCACCAGTTCAGGGTTCGATACTTCATTCGAGCCCCCCTCTGCCTTGATAAGATCTCCAGGGTGACCGATCCTGATTTATCTTGAGCCACTGCATGTTGCACTATCTCATTCACTCCCAAATCTCTCCCGATATCTCTTGCCCTTCGATAGGTGAATAGACTATGTTGAATATCCTCATGCCCCACCCTACAGATTGGACACTACGTCATACAGGGGACATGATGCCCAACTAATATTCTGTAGCAAGGTAAAGACCCTCGCAGAACCTTCCAAATGAAATGCTTTGCTCTTTCCAGGGATACATAGGTTCCTGCTATTTTTCCATATGAGGTTAATATGGACGTTTCCTTGGCCATCAGGCCGCACTAGTCTGCCACCAAATTGATGCTCAAACTCCCTATGGTAAGTAGACATAACAGAGAATGTTCCTGACCTTGTATAATTTCATGCCACGAAGTCATCTATTCCTTGCACATGTAGGGGTATTTGCAATATTCAGTGGGGTCATCTTTATTTGTCAGTGGGTCCACCCCACTAAATATCAAATGCATTTCATACTCCCTAAGAGCATCTCCAATACAATATGTATAAGCAAAAATTAACTAACTTTTACATCTCAAAGGCCTAAAAGCACACCTTCAACAAATGATGTAGATGTAAAAAAAATTACATCACCTGCTCCAAGTGATGTAAAATACAACAGTTGGAGATGTAAATTTGCATCTCCATGCCCCAGGTGATGTAAAATGTCAGTTGCGCGCCAACCGCCACTTCCCCTTTTCTTCTCCCACCGCGCGACCACCTCCACGCCTCCCGCCGCACCGCCTGTCCGCCCACCAGACCACTAGCTAGGCGGCAACTGTGAGATTCGCGCGGGAGCATCCGAAGTATGTCCATGCCAAGTGCAAGTTCTTCTGGAAGTGTGAGGCCGAGCAAAAGAAGGCGGTGAAGAAAGAGGAGGAAGTCGACCCCTCGACGGTGATCCCTGTCGAGTCTGACTCGTCGGACTGGGATGCCTTAGAGGAGGAGGACGATGAGTGCGACGACCCCAGCAAGGAGGAGTTGTGGGAGCAGTTCAAGAGCAATGACGAGTAGACTAGGAGTAGTAGTAGTTTGATGGATGCAGTAGTTTGAACTATGTTTAGTTATATTTTAAGAACTATGTTTGCTTCAAACGAATTTGCTATATTTGAATTATGTTTGAAATGATGTAGTAGTTGAGCTAATTTTGCATGTTCAAATACATCATGTGTTGGAGTAGAAGTTTTACATCACCAAATATACATCATTCGTTGAAGTTGAGACTTTTTTGGAGATGTAAAACACACTTTTTGGTGATGTAAATTATACAACACCTACTTTTACATCTTCAAATATACATCTTCTATTGAAGATGATCTAAGGGAGTACAAAATAATATCCTTCCTATGAAGGAGTTTGGTCGGTGGGATACGTGTTCGGGAGAGCACGTGTGACCTCCCTTTGTAGCACGAGCCGACACACGCCGCGGGTACTCAAAGCTCGGTATACTCGATAAGATTTTTGAAAAAAATGTTTTCACACGCGCGGTCGCGCTATCCATTTAAAATTTGTATTTAATTTGCGGACTTCACCAAATGTCTTTTCCTAACTATTCCCATAAATAGAGTCATCTAATTCTCAATTTTCTTACAAGAGGCGCAGTCTATCGGAATTGGTATGTTAAAGTTTCCCGGAATAGCTACATTAAAATCTCCCATAATAAGTCTAAACTTCAATATATCACGGCACTCAAAAATTGTCGAATCATTAGAAATACGTAGTACCCCCTCTGATATGCCGAGAGAGTAGAATTTATGATTATCCAAAACTGATCCGTTAGATGTGAAAACAGGAAATTTAAAATCCGGTTCTGCATTTGCGAAATCTTGGAAACGCTTAAGAAGATAATTTTACTTTTTTTTTTGAAATTTGCTCGGATGAGCACGCCGATATTGCTTGGTGTTGCTAATGCGGGGACGTAGCATTCAGTGGGGTTGCCTTTTATTTGTCAGTGAGGTACATTCATTTCATACAAAACGTTATCCTTCATATACGAGTTTGGTTGGTGGGAATGTGGGATGCGGGTTATTAAGCGGGGAGCACGCGTGAGCTCCGTTTGTGGCACGAGCCGACACACGTCCCCGGTACTCGAACGCTCGATACTCGATAAGATTTCGGAAGAAGAAAAATACGCCTGGTGCCACGATAGAGATCGATCGGGCACCAGCCAGCACTGCACGGCAAACCTTGGTCCGTCCTCGCCACGGCAATAAAAAGGCAGCGTATTCTGGCCCCGGCCGGGGCATGTGCCTGCGCCGCACCGAGAACCCCGAACGGGAGCTCCTTTGCCCCGGCGTATTCCGGAGCGATGGGTGCACGACACCTCCAGCGTTTTCCGTTGCAGACTTTCCACTTCCGCCGGGGGCGGTGCGCCACCGTCCAATCCGGCCTCCCGTTCTCGGCCCCGCGTTTCGACCAGCGGACGGCCCGGAGGAAACCTCCGAATAAAGGCGCCACCGGCCAGAAGGCACGTCGCCATCAGTGACCGGCAAGTTTTTCTTGGGCGGGAGCCGGAATGTGTATTTGCCGGATTTTTATCGGGCTTTTGTCGCCCTTTCCATTGTTGCCCGGAGGGGAAACGCTTGCCTTGCCTTTGCGTCGCGGTGCACCGCGGAGGGTGGAAACGGGGCCGGGTCGTGCGCGCACGGCGGTCTTTATCGCCGGGCGGCGCCGGGAAAGCCGCGGGAGGTGTCGTCCGGAGACGGCCTTCCGCCGTCACGCCGCCCGCGCTGGCACGGACGGCTCCCATCCCAGGTGACCGTAGCAGGCTCGCGCGACCTCGGTGCCAGCCGGCGCCAGCAAGTTCACGGTACGCGGCCGTGTATCGGCGCGGCGCGTCATGCGTGCCGGTGCATGCGCGGCACCGGTCGCGATTCATTGAACGTGGCGGCATGAACGCATCACACCTCCGGCGCTGACGCCGGTTGCGTCTCACCCGCGCGTGCACGTACACACTCGTCCACACCACGCCAAGGTTATCAGCGGCGAGGGACTGAACCCGGGAGATATTTTGCGAGCGATGCACACGATTACACGAGACGAGCGGCACTCGCGCTGACACCTACTCAAGATTTTGTTTGGGTCGCACCCAGAAACCGATACAAAATACGTAGAACCCGGACGATGAGCGACCGAACCGAGTGGACGGAGGGGGAAGCGGCCGCTCCTCTCTTTCTTCGCCACGAGCGCAGCAGCGGCGACCGTCCGCGCATCACCGCGGTAAGGAAACGTCGCTGTCGCCCGCGGGCAAGGCCATTTCTCGGGTGACAGGCACCTGCGCTTTCGCTCCGACCGGCCAGTTGAAAGGGGCCAAACCAAACCTGCGGAGCCACCACATCCACTTACTGGATTATCCTCCTACTTAACGGATCACACGGGTTCATCAGAAAGTGGTGCGAAAGCGGACCGTAAAATATGATTGTAGGTTGTAGGCTTCTAGCCACTGAGATACGTAGATTTAGATAGATAGACTGACGGAGACGGACAGTTCAGTCCGCGGGTGAAGGGTCTGGATTCTGGATTGCTTGCTTGGATGGATGGTCGGCATATCACAAGCGACCACAGAAAAGTTATGCGATTACGTCTCACGATATCAAACGCACTACTTTGATTTTTCTTTTCTTGCGCAAATACTTTGCTCTGTTAAGCCAGGGTTTTTGGGGTGTAAATTGCTAAAAAAATCTCATCTGAGCCCTCCCCGCCCTCACCATAGCTCCGCCAGACGCCAGTGTGTTAAGACAAGCACGTGACTTCAAAAATCAAAATTGTACTCACAGGTATTTTAAATACGAATCTAACGGTGTTTATATTTATATCATACTATCACACAAGGACATGAAATGACAAACTAATTGTTGGTTAAAACATTGTCTTAACGAGTCAAAACGCGTTTTATGATATATTCTGAGAGTGAGACAGAAGGTGAGTGCATTCTGTCTTCTGTTTTTTGCCAAAAGGTGTGGGAGTGTCACTGTAAGTTGCCTGAAATATTCATATATATCTCTGTCGCTTTTTAAAAGCGTTAGGATCAACATCCAACCATTCCCATCTCATTTATCTTCATATATAAACCTCAGACGGAAACTCGCACTAAAGTTGCATGATCCCAGACGTACAATTTTAGGCTAACCAAGGTGCAACTTTAGCGTGACTGAATCACTGAATTTTTTTTAGACAATTACTCCCTCCGTCCCATAATATAAGAACGTTTTTGACACTACAGAGGAAATAGGAATTAGCCCCAATCCAATAAAATAAGCACAGGTTTAGGCTAGCCAAGGTGGAACTTTAGGTGACTAAACATTCAAGCCACTTAGGATGAGCAAATCAGATAAAAGTACAGGTTCCATCTAAACAAGATGCAACTTTAGGTGACTGAAATTTCAGGCTTAGCAAATCTGCTAAAAAGGTTAATAATCCATCGAAGAAGATGGCCAGAAAGGAAAAAAGGGACTCTTGACATTTCTGGTAGTAATCGGATTAACATTTGGGGCCAACCGACCAGGTGTATCTAACACGCATAACATCCTTATCCCTTATCCCCTCACCAACACCCTCATCCGATTATCCCCTTCTCATCCAACAGCTTAGACATCCTTTTCCTTGATAAACAAAAGAGACTTCATGATTCTGTATTACAATCGTTACTAAATTAATTTCAATTTCCACCTAGCTGACACAAAATCATAACCTAAAAGGTCTGATGCAAGAACTGAGAACTATACATTGCATCATGCCACCATGAAGCAGAGAAACAGGTGCTTCGCGCGGATACTCCGAAAACAGTTCATTTCATGGCAACTTGGGGAGGTGATCTTTCTGGGGATCAGCGGGAATGAACACGGGGAGCTGGTGAGGCCGAGACACACCGGAGCGCTGGCTCGAGCCGCCAGGGTCTCTGAAACTTCTCGTCGCAGAATCTGTCATCAGAGGTCCACCAAAGAATATAGACTGACCGGTGTACAGAAGGTCGGGCCGGGTTACCCGAGAGCTCGGTCCCTGGTTTGCCTGCGCAGACATGAACCGGCCAGCTTCCTGATCCCAGTAAACCGATGACCGAGGAGATCTATCTGTGTTCGGCACACTAAATCTCCTTGCGTTGTTGGCTTCTGGTATAGCCGCTTCATTTGCTTTGGCTGAGAATGGGGACCTGTTGGCTGATGTCTGATAGATTGGGTTGAAATGCTTCGAGGGATGGTGCTCTGCAATGGGCGTCGGAGTCCGCGAGTTGCTCTGGAAGCTGCTGGGTGTCTGAGGATACAGCTCAATGTCATCTGCACTTGCTATGCTGGGTGGATAAGGGGACTTGTACGGAGCATTCCTGCCAGACCGAGTGTCGATGTGGTTGCTAGTATCAGCACTCATTACACTGCTTCTGCAGCTGAGGTTATCGCTGGAGCACTGGTCGGCGTCGTAATGGGAACGGCTATTGATCGGTTTCAGCACAGATGAAGAGGCTCTGGCTTTTGCTGCGGCTTTCATGGCCTCGTTTGAATCCAGTTTTGCCAGCTTCCATGGGTTAATGCGAACTTGGCGCTTGGCGTGTTGTTTGGCTCTTTCGACCGGGTCTGTGCTATCAGGATCAACAGTTGAAGGTAATCGCCCAGGTCCCAAGTGTGGAATGATTTCGTCCTGTGATGTGATACAGACGATTAAAATAGGCCGAAGAAGTAGGAGAAAAATTCAACTTCGAAATGAAAACGATTATGATGGACAGAACACATCTTGCACATAACAGTGCAGGTTTCTGATAAGATTTATTAACGTGGAAAGCATTAATCCCATCATTGGAAAAGTAAACAGCACAGCAAATTGATGTGCTTCCAGTGATAGAAACATAAACACCCGACAGTTCACTCTATGGAAAGTTGATTTTGGTTAGCAAACTACAGACAGTTGATACGGCCTAGAAGGCTAGACGTAGCACTGGATAAGAAACACACCTGGTCAACAAAGATGCGCGGTGGAGTGCACCATGCACCTTTGTAGTGCCGTGCGAACGAGCTCCCGCTGAAAGCAGTTGGTGCAGAACTCATGGGAGAAGATGGCAAGCTTTGCTGCTCATCATTGACAGAGAGACCAGGAGGTTCACTCTGAGCCCTCATTGCCACAACATATTCATAAGTTGTGATGCCCTGAAAAATGGTTGTAACAAAGCGGTATCATAATCAATTCCTTGCAAAAATTATAGTACAGTATTGACAAGGAATAGCAAAGTGACGAACCTTCTTGATTAATAGCATATGGAAGAAGAACAGCTCCCCCAGGGGCACTGAAGCAAGCACAGCAAGAGCTGTACTCAGGGCCTGAAGCCAAGGATGTATTGAGTTAAGATTGAGCTAGCCATGTCATATACTCTAATACAGTGCTTGACTATCGTATGACTAGCTCTATGGTGTTATATACTTCAATGCAGTGATCGATTACAAGTTATTATTGCTTGAAAGGTAACTAACTAGCTCAATTTAAAGTACTGTACTATATGGCCAAATAGATGTCAGTATACATAATTCAAATAGTACTAACCATGCAAAATGATGCCATTGTGATCATAAATTATTCCTTTGGGGCAAAAAGGCCAAGTTACTACTCTAATTTGCAGCAGTGGCAGCGTTTATGTACAACTGCTGCTGCACAGAGTTAGAAACTCTGTTCTGTCCTCATGTAATAAAATTAAATTACGTTCAAGTGTTCCTACTAAGTCAACACCCTGCCTCAGATCAACAGCAATACTACACCACATACCACTGATTTGATTCTGCACCTTACAAAGACCGCTCAATGAAGATGGATATATTAAAGTAATTACGGTGAAATCCAAAGGTACAGCTATATGCCTCAAAACAAGATAAGAAAAAGGCATTAACATTTACCACAATGACTGCAAAGGGCGCTCGTGAAAGACCATAGCCCAGCTTTTCTCCTATTTGTTCTTCAATTGCTGCTTTATCAGTGAAGCAACGTACAAACACAGCTATACCAACTCCACACTCAACCGCAAGCTTTATGCATAACGAAAATGTACAATTAGAAACATGAAAAATGCTTTCAGGACATCAAATTTCACACTCCTATGGTAATTCTACATACCCAAGCAAGACTCACAGCCATAAGGCACAAAAAAGTCATATAATTTCTCCTTCCAACACAATTGTTCAGCCACTGCATCAAAAAGGACAAATAAGAGAGCAGAAAATCCACACCAACAAACTGTGGAGAAAGGGTAGAAAGACTGAATGAAATACATAATCTTCAGCATGGCACCTACCCGACAATGATGATCAAAACCATCAACACACTTGTCACAGCTCCGACAATGTTTACTATTTTTTCGCACCTGCATCAATACACAAAGGAAAGGGCATTTCAATACGAATAGAAGTTAAGAATAACGGCACATTTGCGTAAACATAAAGGACTCTATTATTGTTGCAAGCAGACATAAAATGTTCTACTCCGAATCTATCAATGTTGCAGAAGCACAAAAACAGATAAAATAGTATGACAGGATAAATTGTAGCTGCCAATGACTATAACAGATCTAATCTCCAAACATTGTCCTTTTGCCTCACTCCTGTTTGCTTCTTTATGCTTATTTTCAACAGAAACAGAATTTATGGAATTATCTCATGCATGCATCCTTCCTTAATCATCCTTGTGGATTTCTTTTACAAGCTACTGCATCGATGCTAACTTAGCTGATTTGTGTTGGGCATTTATGTCTCTATATCATCATGTCAACTGTGCTGCGTACACGACAAAGGCAGATGCAACTAACTTATTACAGAAAGTATATCACAAAGGAGTCCCTCCTTAAACCCTGTGTATTGCCTGTTCCCAAAAGTCTTAGAAGTGCCTAAATACTGCTCCCTCCATTCCAAAATAAGTGTTGTGGTCTTTAAAATTTGAACTAAAACCACGGCACTTATTTTGGAACAGAGGGAGTAAACATTATGATGCAAATGGACAAAATTTTCAAGTGACACACACATAAACAATAATATATTTTATACCAGACTTCTTTAACATGTGCTGTAATATATCAGTTATAGCATTTAAATTCATGTAAAATAGATATGGACTCAAGAAACAGGTAAATTCTAATTAATGGATGCAAGCATCTGCATTGCATCCATTTTCCAGAACTACCATGGCTATAACAAAAGAATAAAATGCATCCGAAGTCCGAACTCTTGAGTATGATATATTCTGCTTGCTGGGTACCTCTGTGTTGCAAAGGGTGCAAAAGAGTGCCTCCTCAGCATAATTTTCTTGTTGGTAAGCTTCATCTTCTTTGCGACAATCCTCTTTCTTAAAAATAGCACAACAAAAACAACCAGTTCCTAAACATGATCTATGCTTTCTGATTTCCTCGTTGGCTTCCAATCCTGATTTGCCAGCTTCTTCTTGAGTGTCTACGTTTGCTTTTAATCAAAAGGATGATGTATTAGTATTTGAACTTCAATAGCAGTTTCATCAGGTATCAGGACATACCTTCTGATTTATAGATTAGTGCACCATTGACGCTAATCAGGATGCCAGGGTCAGCAGGATCAATAGCAGTACATCTAGCATATAGAATCAATACCGATAAAGCCTGATAAACAGAAACAGATACAAGAGGCATATCAAATGAAATATATTCCAGGATTCAATCCATGCATAAAAATAGAGGAAGTGGAACCTTACCAGAAAACTATAAACACCGATTGCAATATACTGATACAGGTCCTTCCCAAGAAACGGAGACAAGAAAGCATAGAATGCTATACACAGCAAGAAGAACACTGTTATAGCAACCACCTGCCAAAAAAAAATCACCATTCAATTTTTTTTTTCCGAACCATGAAGGAGAACTGCATTCGAACATTTATAGAAGAAGAAAGAGTGTCAGGACATGAAACCATCGACCGAATGATCAACAAGAAAACACAGGTCACAACCAACCAAACATAACGTGAACCGAGCACTGACAAACACCACTAGGGCTAAAACTAGACAAAATAAAAACAGCTCAAGGAGGAAGCTTAGGCCAGAGTAGCTAGCATCAGCCTTAATCTGACTAATGAGTAATGGCCTGGGGAGTCGGAGTGTACTTGTTTCAAAAAATCAAACAGCTTGTAGTTTGTGGTGACACCAGCATGAAGGAAGTGTGAATCCAACCAAGACGCCACAGGTTGAGCAGAAAAGCAAGACCAAAACCTCCACAAAAAGCTGAAAGCAAACTAAGGACTCCTAACCCTAGGTTTTTCATAAACAATAAGCATTTGAAGTGCATAAAACCATCAAATTTACATGTGAATTTTTTAATATTTTACACAAGATAACCAGTTAACACGCTTGCTCAGATATTGCAGATCTCTTGTTTAGTACAAGATCAAAGATAAAAAGACCTTTGCCTATTTGCTTGATCTTTTAAACTTCTATCTCAAATTTAAGGAGGAAGGGGAGATAAGACGATCAGATGAAGGTAAGCAGGGTGATTCGGTCTGTACATGTACCAGAGAGCCATTACTAACTGGATGTTCTCAAGTAAAGAGAGGATACGCTTGATAGGAGCAGATGCATAGACCAAGCGTCGTGTCCTCCATAACTCAGGTCATAAGCCAAGAATCAGTGAAAATATCTAACCGTTAGTCGTGAAATACTCGCTAATTCAGTTGACTACTAAGCTCTTATTACAGGGCTCACACTTTAAAATGATACTTCCCTCAGAACTCAGATACAATGTGTTTAGCCAGGACCAGCATACAATTAAGCTGGGATACCATGTCAGTACAGGACAGCAAGGTGAACGCCATTGAACTGAAAACCCGTCATTTTGAACACGGATGCACCCATACCATGGGGACAACACACAGAGGACTAAACAAACTAAAGTTCCGCATTCGAGCACAGTTTGTAGTTAGCCTGTAATTGCAAAACTAATTAAAGCGAGTTGGTTGTGCAAACAGGAAGGAGACAAGAAAACAAACAGAGTTGGCGGCGGCGGCCAAAGCCGCGAAACTCCAACTCCAAAAGTCCAAGGCCAAAATCCCCCATCACATCGAAGACAAAGAACAGAAGAGACCAAGAGGAAACCAACAAAAAAACAACAGTTTAATTGTCTGCAGAGAAAAATGCCAGATTAGAGCAGAAACATACTCGCGCCATTGCGCACGGGATCAGAACGAAGCACCGCGTGAAATTCGAGCAGCATGGCATCAGGGTAAACCTAAGAAAATCAAATCCATGTAGTTCGCGTCGGAACAGCAGAAATGGGCAACATACACAGTACAGAGTAAAGTCGCGCAGTAGCACCCAAAAAAATGCAGGTAAAGATAATGCATCAGTCCATCACATCAGACACACATAACTACGGAATAATACTAGGATTGAACCGAAAAATGGGGGAACGCATCAGATCAAAACGAACAGCGCGCATCAGTAGTTTACTTCTCGTGCTAACCTAAACACGCTAGTCGCCAGCATCGCGCAGGCAAGGCACAGGGAGACTTTCAAACGCCACAGCGCGGGGTTCTCGGCCTCGGAAGCGCCGAAGCGAAAACAATTCCGGTCCCCCGGCGGGGAGATCCGGAGGCACATTGCGCGTTCGAGCACAGAGGAACATAAAAGAAGGGCGAACGCGAACGGACCTGCAGGGTGTGGGCGGGGAGCTGCCACCCGTGGCGGCGCGCCATGGCGGCGCTGCCGCGGCGGAGGCGGAGGGAGCGGCCACGGGATCAGCGACGCGGCGGCGGCGGCGGCGGGGGCTGCATTGGGGGGGCGCGAGATCCCGAGCCGCGCGGAGTAAACCCTAGCGCCCCGTACGGTACGGCACCTCTCGGCCTGCGCTGCGCCGGGGAGAGAGGGGGAGGGGAAGAGGAGGAAGGAAGGCGTGGTAGAAGTGGGTGTGCGTGGCGACGGCGGTAGTGGATTTTTTACTGGGAGGAGGGAGGGGGCGGTCTCGGATTCTCTTTTGCCTGGGCCGTCGTCCTCTGCTCTCGTCGCCTGCGTCGTCCACTGCGTGGACTGAAAATATTTGTTTCCTTCCGAACTTAATTTGATATATATCACTGAGAAGTGGGCCGTCCAGGGACATGAGTTCCTTTTTTTTATGTTGGCCGATGCTCTGCGTCGGTCGACCGGCGAGCGGCCTCGGTTACCCTGCGCACCGTACCATCGGCCAGGCGTAGCCGTTGGATCTGGCCTCCTCATCCCATTTGCTGGACCAAAACGAAGAAACAATGACACGGTCGACGAGCGATGGTAGCTTATCTCATCACAAAAAAAAAGCTTATCTCATCACAATATGCGTAAAATGATCACTATCCCAGTATGGTATCTATGATGGAAAAATTGATTGTTACGGTCTCTATCTCTATTAACTCGAATCCATGGCAATACACGGGAGTTGGGGGTAGGAGAGGTAGGGTTCGAGAGAGGGAGAGAGAGAGCAGATTCTCGATGCCCTCACACACACACACACCCGCATGCTCACTTATCCACCCAGCTCTCATGTGGACGGGTCGAACCTGCGGTTGGGCCTTCGGTATCTCTTGGGATGGCCTTCGCTATGCTTTTGGATTTGGCCCCCGTGTCTGCGTCCATCACATTCCCCCCTCCTTCAACACCGGCTTGACCCCAAGCTACAGCTGATGAAGCTATGTACCTAAGGTAGGTCATAGGCCTGACCTAGACTACCTCCCCAAGGACATCACCCTAAAGCCAGCAGCATTCAAAGGGTACCATCATCCACTCGACCAGAGACATTTCACTCGGAAGAATCAATGTCACTCGACCGTCACAGAAGTCACTCGACAAACAGAAGATCTGGAGCCACTCTACACAGCAACGGTCAGGCGTTTACTCATAGCCTTAACTACCATTTATAGCACTTTAATACGGACGTTACCTGTAACGCTCCACCTTTATGTACATTGAACCTCGCATAACGGAGGGGAGCTGGGGTCCTGACGCACTCTATATAAGCCACCCCCTCCTCCAGGACAGGGGTTTGCATCTTTTGTAAACACACACACACACACACACACATAATCCAGTCGACCGCCCCAGGGCATCGAGACGTAGGGCTATTACTTCCTCCAAGAAGGGCCTGAACTCGTAAATTCGTGTGTACAACTACTCCATAGCTAGGATCTTGCCTCTTCATACCTACCCCCCATTCTACTGTCAGTCTTAGAACCACGACAGTTGGCGCCCACCGTGGGGCAGGTGTCAGCAGTTTGTTGGAGAAGTTGTCATTTTTCTGATTCCCGTCATCATGGTTTCCGGTGGAGGATTGGCTGAAGGCGCGAGATTCGTCTCGGCGCGCTTATCTTCATCACCGACAACTCCGCTTGGCTCCACGAGGCTCCACTCGACGTCGAGGCACTCCCCGTCCGCGGGGCGACGCACTTCCGCGCATGCGTCCGCGGTGTCCTTCTTCGGCAGCCGTCGACTCAGTATCAGTCGGCTCCTACGGCAACCTCGCTTTCCGTTGTTCGCCGGCGCCAGCGATCTGGTCAATCGCGGCTTCAGCGGTGGGTGAGGCATGCGGTGGCCCGCCAATTGGCCACCCCACAAATCGCGGCGATCGAGCCTGATGAGACTCTCTACGCCATGTTCGATCTGTCAACTGGCTCCGTCGAGACTGCACCCGAGTGCGACAGCAGCGACCCCCGGCGGAAGTTTTGATGGTCAATGGACCGCGCTGTCCTCCTGGCTTCACCCGTGAAGTCGGTGGTGATGGCGTCGGCGACCCATCACATGCCCACGAGGAGTACCATCCCGAACCACTCGCTTCGCAGCGGAGGGAAGAGCTTCGCCGCCGTAATATGGATGCACTTCACCTCCTATCGTTGGAGAAACCTCCGAGGCCCAGGCCTTGGAGGAGGCGCGCCTGGCCAACTTGGCTGAGCGCACTCGACTGGAGAACCTCCAGCGCGCTCTCGACGAGCGTGCTCGGCAGCGGGTTCGTGAGTCCAGTCGACGACAACTTTTTCTGCCTCCGACTCGGGTATACCAAACTCCGATCCAGAATCTCACAGCTGCAGCTCGAATAGCAGAGTCAATTCAACCTTCCCAGTCAGAAGCTGGCCGAGGTTTGATGCAGATCCGGGCTTTACTCCGAGCAGCGGGAGAGCAGAACACAACAGTATCTCAGTCGCGGAATAGGATTCATAGCAGATCTGTGGTGGCAGATACCGTTCAATCTGCTCACAACCCAAGATCGCCTCCGTGGCGTGAGGAACGTGGGCACCGGCAAGATCAGTACAGGAACCGCGAGCAGTATGATTATCGACTCGACCACGATGACCGTCGTCGAGTGCCCATGCCTCCTCTGAGGAGTGGGTCATACGTGCCTCAGCGTCAAGATGACAGGCTCCCTCACAGCGGCAAACGAAGAATTCCAGTCGACCCCAGAGAGCCAGGCTTTGATGCAAGATCTATCATTGTTCAAGGTCTGATTGATAGGAACAGGGCTCACAGAGAAGGCCACGATAGAGATCATCCGACTGGAAGTAGGGTGCACGTTTCAGGACCCGAGTGTTTCAGCAAAGCCATCAGAGCAGCAGTGATTCCTCCCAACTTCAGGTTGGCGATTGGAGTCAGCAAGTTCACCGGCGAGTCCAAGCCAGACACTTGGCTTGAGGACTCCCGAGTGGCCGTGCAGATTGATGGCGGCAATGATAATGTGGCTATGAAGCACTTCCCCTTGATGTTGGAGGGCTCAGCCAGAGCGTGGTTGAATCAGTTGGCTCCTGGCAGTATATATAGTTGGGAGGAACTTGCTTGAGTGTTTGTTAGGACCTTTGAAGGCACTTGCAAAAGGCCGGCATGGTTGACAGAATTGCAGTGTTGTGTCCAGAAACCGAATGAAACCTTGAGGGATTATATCCAGAGATGGATCAAATTGCACCATACAGTGGAGAATGTGTTAGATCACCAAGCAATTTGTGCCTTCAAGGAAGGCGTTAAGTATCGGGAGTTGAATCTGAAATTCGGTCGGACAGGAGATATGACTCTGACTCGGATGATGGAGATTGCCATCAAATATGACAATGGTGAAGAGGAAGACCGACTCCGGAGCGGCAAGCACAAAACAGTCCCCCAAGAAACCGGAGGAGGGAATTCCAGTCAGAAACAGAAGTGAAAGGCTGAACCAGCTGCTCCTGGTGAAGCTTTAGCTATTGCCCAAGAAAAGTTCAAAGGAAAGCCCAAGGGGCCCTGGACTCCCAAAAAAGTTAAGGATAAAGATGGTTTTCCCAATGTCAATTCCACACTGATGATTTTTGCTGATGTTGAAAGCAAAAGTTGGTTGAAAGTTATTAACAGGGAAGTAAACATGGTTGCTCTTGCAACACCCAGTTATCTGAAGTGGTCCCAGACCGCCATCACATTCGATCAGTCAGACCATCCAGCTCATATAGCCACCCCTGGGAGGCAAGCACTGATGGTCGACCCAGTAGTTGAAGGCACTCGACTGACTAAAGTGTTGATGGATGGTGGCAGTGGCCTGAATATTCTTTATGCTGAAACCTTGAAGGGAATGGGCATTCCGATGTCCAAACTTAGTGAAAGTAACATGAGTTTCCATGGCGTTATTCCTGGCAAGAAAGCTCAGTCACTCGGCCAGATTGCCCTTGATGTGGTTTTCGGTGATTCCAAGAATTACCACAAGGAAAAATTGACATTTGAGGTAGTGGATTTCAAGAGTGCTTACCATGCTATTCTAGGTAGGCCTGCTTATGCACGTTTTATGTCTCGACCATGTTACGTGTATCTCAAATTGAAGATGCCTGGTCTTAAAGGAGTAATCACTGTCACTGGTAATCAGCAGAAGGCAGAAGAGTGCTTCCAAAAGGGCTCAAAAATTGCAGATGCACAGATGGCAGTAGTAGAACTACAAGAGTATCAGAAGGATGCAGATCCGAGTGATTTGCTGCGAGCCAGGAAGCCTGCCACAGATTCTGCATTTCAGTCGTCCGGTGAAACGAAGCCGATTCATATTCACCCGACCGACCCCAATGCTGCTCCGACCCATATCTCAACAACACTCGACAGCAAATAGGAAGAAGCGCTCATCCAGTTCCTCTGTGAGAACTGGGACATCTTTGCATGGAAACCTTCTGACATGCCGGGTGTACCCAGGGGACTGGCCGAGCATCGTTTGCAAGTCGACCCAAAAGTAAAACCAGTCAAGGAACATCTCCGACGATCCACCGTCCAGAAGAGAAAAGCAATCAGCGAGGAAGTGGCTCGGCTCCTGGCAGCTGAGTTCATCCATGAAATCTACCACTCCAAGTGGCTCGTCAATGTTGTCATGGTCCTCAAGAAGGACGACTCACTTCGCATGTGCATTGACTTCAAGCATATCAATCGGGCCTACCCGAAAGATCATTTTCCTCTCCCCCGCATCGACCAAATCATCGACTCAACTGCGGGGTGTGAGCGTTTGTCTTTTTTGGACGTCTATTCCGGGTACCATCAGATCCGACTGTATGGTCCCGATGAGATAAAAACGACTTTCATCACTCTATTCGGATGCTTTTGTTATGTCACTATGCCATTCGGCTTGAAGAATGTCGGAGCCACATTCATGAGGATGATCCAGAAGTGTCTGCTCACTCAAATCAGTCGAAATGTGGAAGCATACATGGATGACATTGTGGTCAAGTGACGTAAAGGTTCCGACCTG